AATTTTTTTTTCCCCAACAAACCACCACCTAAAGTAGGCGGGTATTTCAAACTGCCCCCTAAACCGGATATAAAGTGGCTTTAAGTAAAACAATGTTTTTTAGGGTATTTAGGGATTTCATATATTTTAAAAAACAAGAAAAGAAGAATTACTACTCCGACGTTCTTTAACTCGCACAACAAGCAGTCTAGAGTTCTCCTTCAGCCTCGACAACCACCAGGGGAGTCCATAAATAGCGACCGTTTGGACACCACCCACCAAGAGATGTCAGTCGTCTTCCTCGCAACACCAGCCGTCGACGCCCAGAGCCATCTTCCGCGTAGCCCTTCGCCGGTGTTCTTGTTCAGTCCATGCAGTTTCACCCATCGTGGAGACTTTTCATCTCCGACCATTAGATCATCCGCCACCAGTCGTTTGTTCATGCCTTCGCGTAGCAGAAAACCAGCTGGAGTTTCACGCATCTGCCGCTGCCACTGAGCTCATACTCATACTGCATGGATGAGGGACATATGACCTAAGGTTGCTGGTTGGAGATGGTTGCATGGTGTGCGCGACCGCCCTTTCGACGTGGGCTGAAAGCTAGTTTCCATACACGATTGACAGTTTGCGACTAGTGGTTGCATTAAATAGCGAATGGTGTGAAATGAAAGCCGACGGGGCTGCTCATCCGACGAAGCTGGTTGTGGGACAAGTGATTGGTCGAAAAAAGTGTGTATTTTATATATTTATTAGCGTATTTTTATATGCTCAATTTTATCACACTTATATATTTTTTTCGACTTACTTATTTATTAGATGGATTAAGTGCTATGATATTTTTATGATTTAATTTCAGGATTTTAGAATATTTTGTGGACACAAAATTTCACGGGATCAATTATCCGGGTGTTAATACCGCTGTGCAAAATGGACAATGGCCCGTAAAAGTTATCTGCTCGTGGAATTAATTAAGGACTCAATACAAATAAGAATATTTTGGATTGAAGGGACTTGTACATATGACAAATGGGCAATACTCATGATTTTGAGAGTTTGGGATATATGAGATATTAAGTGGGGCCCAAAAGTTTACATGAATTAGCCCACTTTATGACTTATTTCACGGCACTTAGGATTTTGGGGCCAGGAGGAATTATTTCATACAATTCACGCACAACAGCAAGAAACAGAGCCGCCAGATTTGGAGAGAAATAGATACGTGAACAGAGGAAACGCCGCAGCAAAAGAACGAAAAGGAGAACAGAACTTGAAGACGCAGAGAGCCCGATCAATTGCGGAGGGAGGCCGCACCCGCACACAAAGAGGATAATTCTATTCTCTTTCTGTTCTTCTTATTTTTATTTATTATGTTAGAGTAATTTTCTTTCTAGTTCCGGGGAAGTCGAACCCTAAGATTGACTATGTTTGATTAATTTATGGTTGATTATTGAGTTATCTTTTTGGAATTGTTTGTGTTATTTTGAATAATTAACCATGATGTGTTGAGTCTTATTTAGATTGATCACCTAGATTAGGCTTTTCATATCTACACCTGAATTAGGCCTTCAATCCGTAATTGTTGATGTGTTTAATTCGTAAGTGGTATCCGGAAGATGGTAACTACCGGGGATAACACGGCCTATTTAAGTGAACGAACGCGGTTGAGTTCACTACTTAGTCTAGCCTATTTTTCTAATTCGTAAAGCGGCTAATTGAATTAAATTTAGGAAGCGTTTCCTAGACTGTTCAAGAGGTCAGATTTAATCGTAGAGCGTCTCGCGGTTAGATTAAAAATAAGGAAAAATTCGGGTAACAGCCCGTGGCGTTACCTAGGGCTAGTAATTCCATAGATAGCGAGATTTGATACTAGAATTGATTAGATGAGTCGGTCGAGGGTGTAGACGGAACCGTGAACTAGAAATTTCTCTTTATTTATTCTATTTTATTTTTATTTTCATTGTTTAGATATTATTTTCTCTATTAGGATTTTAGTTAATTTAGTTCTTAAATTCAAATCCCCCTTCTTTTTATTGCTTTCTTAATTCAATTAATACAAGAAATTCACAATTTAATTCACACTCCCTGTGGGTTCGACCCTTGCTCGCTACTACTACTAGTTGGTAGAAGTAAGTTAAAGAAAAATATAAATTATAATTTTGCCGCGTTGCGACGCGCGGTCAACAAGTCTTTTGAATGATCCGTGATGTGAGTTCTTGCCTTTGCATTTATTTGCGAGGTGGGTCATCTGGTCGGCGGGAAAAGACGCAGTTTATGAGAAAGATGACCAGTCCACCAAGTTTTTAAGAGCGTTAAATATTCAGTTAGATTGGAATATTTATTTATGAGTAATGAGATTATTTTCTATTTGATGGAAAATATTTAATTAAATTAAATTCGATTTATACTTAATTAGTAATGAGATAATTTTCTATTTGACAGAAAATATTTAATTAAGTTAATTATATTATACTTACTTAAATTATTAATTGGATTAAGTTCACTTACCTTTTGGGTTGTAGGGTATCCTAAGGCCCATATAATTAGGTTTGGCCTAATTATAAATACCTCATTATCTCATCACAGTCTTCAATCGATGAATCGATGAAAGAGAAAAACACTTTAAGAGATCCCTACGTCTTGGAGATTGAGAGATCAACATCAAACGAGCACTCTTTAGCTTTTTGGATCGAGGATTCTTAGCTTCTTCACCGAAAGGGATTCATTGGCGTTAGATCGTGCATCAGATATTTAGATTCCGTGGATACCATAGTCGAGGGCAGACGAATAACTCTAAGATTTTGTTAATCATTCACGCGATCTAAAATCATATCGAATAGCTATAGCCGAATCTTCGTTGTTGGGAGAAAAACAAATGTTGCGCGTGCGTTGGGTTCGTACATCGAAAATCCAACAACAGGGATATCCTGAATTGGTGGAAGATAAATGGATTCAAGTATCCTAACTTGCAAGCTCTTGCCAAGGATGTTTTGGCAATCCAAGTCAGTACTGTGGCATCTGAGGCTTCTTTTAGCATTGGAAAGAGAATAATTGATCCTCATAGGAGTTCATTAACTCCTAGGTCAGTTGAAGCATTGATTTCCTACAACAATGATTGAAGTCAGATGCAATTACTAGTCTTGCATACACCTCTACTCATGAGGAAATATAATGGTTGGATAAAACAGAACAAGGTGAAGTTTAATAATATGATATGATTTAACAATCTTAACTTATTCATACTATATTCTTAAGTTTTTTTTTCCTACTGTTTTCCACTTCACACAGAGTTGGACCAAGAAGAAATGGAACTGAGGTATAAACTAAAAGAAGAAAAAAAAAAGATAAGGAAAGCAAAACTTCGAAGGCTAACAAAGGAGTAGATGCTGGAAAACCATCTGAGAAATAGTGTGGATGTGGTGTCCCTAGTGCTTGAAGTTTGAACAATTTATTTCCTTATGCTTTGCTTTATGTTGTTAAAATTTAGATAATTTGGATTTGGTAATATTTTTTAGTTTTGTCTTTTCTGTGCTTGTGCCTTGTGGTTGTGGGATGGATAACTTGTTGAACTTGAAGTCTTGAATAATTTGGATTTGGTAATATTATACATTCAACTTTTGTGGATGTTAAGCATAATTAACGGATGGGTGGTTTGTACTATATTGAACTGTGTATTGGTAATTGACTTGTTGTGTTGTTTAATGTTTAGTTGATTTTAAGCTCGGTTCTTTTTCAAAAGTCAGTTTTTATTAAGAAATTGTTATCCACAAACCCAGAAAAATCAAACCGAAAGAGGCTTTTCAGTTGAACAAGTCCCTGACAAAAAAAAAATTACCATAACCGAAACCGATATGACAACTAAAAAAACATGAACGGTTCCTAAGAAAAAAAGACAATAAGCGAACCGAGCCCGCCCCTAAAAAGTATGGATTGCCGAGAAGAAACAAAAAAATAAATAAATATACATACATTATCTCGTTTTTTCGGGTGAATATTGAACAATTTTAACCCTAGAGCAAACTGAGCCAGTCCCTTGCAGTTTCCGTAATAGCAAACCATATAAATCTAGCCGGAGCAATTTATTCAGCTCTGTTTTAAATGCTCACCCCAATTAAGGATGAATCTAATCCAACTATTAGAAATCGAGCCAAATATGAAATCAACAGACCCGATGGATGGTCCTTATCCCACACCTCAAATAGTTGAATCCCCTTGGTCATTTCAAGAACAAGACGTTCAAATTATGCACAGCCCAAATCATTCACAACAAAATTTATAAGCACAACCAGTCACTAGAACTGAAACATTCTAATACCAGAACTAATTCTTGGTCACCAAAGTTTTACTTCATAGCAATTCAAACATGTAACCAACAAGAATATACTCTTAAAATCCCAAAGCATTACATATAATAAACAGATCACTGCATTTCTAGATGAAACCAAAAGTTTTCAATACTGCCCGCCATGACGATTTTTGCTAATCAAACTTAGGAAGCCAGGCATTATATTATACAGTAATGGTCACCTACCACGGTGGGCACATATTAATATGCCCACCGATTATGTGGCACTCATACATTGGTGATGTATTTTTTTCACATATTAACATCACCAATGTGTGTATGCCACATAAGCGGTGGACATATTAACATGTACCCACCGTGGCTAGGTGAGCATTATCCTTATATTATATCAACGATTTTTGTGAATCAAACTTAGGAAGCCAGGCATTATATCGACGATTTTTGCGAATCAAAACTACGAAAGCCAGGCATTATAGTATATCGATCATTGACTTAATACACTTGTAATGCATTAGAGAGATTACACCAAATAAAAATAACACAACATAAGAACTGGGATTCCAAATTATACCAAACACCACAACAACAGAGACAACAAATGATCTTACCAAAAGAATTTCACCATCCACTTCAAGGTCACAATATTCAATTGAAACTTACCAAATATCACACCAAGTATCTCATTTTTCCCCAATTTATATATAAAAGAAAAAAAATCTTACAGCTCATCCTCCATCCTTAGATACTCTCCGATATCCGCATGTCGATGCACCACAATCCCGTTAGGATCCATCTTCCGGCAATCGACCGTGCTCTTGGCGGCGTCCCCGAACCCAAGCGGCACATCCGCCATGGAAAAGACAACCACCCCGTCGTTCACCTGAATGCTCTCAGTGATCCTGCCCACGCCGCCTTTCAACACGCTGTTCCCGTACAAGAAGCTCATCTCAGACGTCGGCTTCAGCCACACCTTGTGCTTCGCGTTTGCGGCCAGGAGGTTGAGGCTCTGGATCGTGAGGTGAAATTTTCCGGCTTTGGTGAACTTGCCGATTTGGGTTCCGAGAGAGATCAGCTTCTCGCGCTTGACGTTGGTGGCGCGCTTGACCAGGGATTCGGATACATAGTAGACCCGGTTCTTCTGGAGACGGAAGCAGTACCGGCCCGGATTCGGGTCGGGCCCTTCGTGGGATTGTGAATCTAATGCGATGTTCTTGAGATTGTTTCCGACGAATTTGTGGAGCTTGTTGAAGACGAGGGTGGTTTCGTTCTCGTCGAGAGGTCTCATGGCGGTTTTCGAGGTGAGGATTTTCAGAGCTAGGGTTCATGGAATGAGAGTTTTAATGTGGTGTGTGTTAAAGCGTTTTATTTAATGGGCCACTCCAGCTGGAGTTCCCTCAACGTTAGGATTAAGACCTTTAGGCCCATTTATATGTAATCTATTTATCAATTAATATAGGGAAATTTTCAAGTTTCCTACGAGAAATAAAAAATATTGCAAAAATACCGTTCATATGTAATATATTGTACATCTACCTAATTTGTAAAAATATACTACATAAATCTCTAAAAATCAGTTACAAATAAGTCAACTCTCATTTACTTTTTTAATCCATCATTTACGCCCTTTTAAAACTGACATGTTGTCATATTTCTTCCACTTTTTATGGGCTTGATTAAGAGAGAGAACTGAAAAACATGAATATAATAAATAAGTGGCTCATTTAATTTCATAATTTTTGGAGCTGTCCCAGTGGGTATATGTTGAGTTTATGTTGGTATATATTCAGTATATA